GCCTGCTGTGTTCATCCAGCTCTACACCTTGTTATCTCAGATTCTCCTGCATCTGCAGTTCCTACTACCACTATACCTGTCATAACTGTTGTCATTGCGATCCTTCTCTGGGTGGTAGAGGATCCCACAGTCCATTTTTATTTTGCCCAGAAATAGGAGGAAGTATTTGGGCCGGTGCCAGCCTGTGCTCGTCCCTTCCCTGTGGTCTCAATTTCTCCCGCTTCCCACTCATGGCCTTGCCTCCCCCTCACACCCATGGCCTCATCCTACCCCAACCAATAGCCACACCTCACAGTTGTCTGCCTGTGGACTTTCCCTACCCTCCACATACAATGGGCTCAGTTCCTCTTTAGCCCCTTTAGGCCTCCCCATATCCACTTGGCCTTTCCCTCACCTGCCATGGTCTCCTGTCAATGAATGCAAGGTCCTTCTTCAACACATGGCCTTGTCTTGTCCTCCCCTGCTAAGACCAAAACTCTTCATCCCCCATCACATGGCCTCACAACCCACTTGCCACAGCTTCATTTCCATACACTCAGGGTCTTCCTCAAGCTTCCTGTCGTCTCCAATACCTTCAGTCTCCCTATCCGCCATGGCTTCATCTGAATGCCTCCATGGTTTTCCTGTCACTTACACTTCACCTCCCCCATACACCTGCATCTTCCAGTGCCTCAGTCAGTCAAGCAGCTGTACTGAGTCACTGCCCTGGAATACTCTTCTGAAATCCATAATTCACGTACTGTATATAAAAAAGGCCTAGATCTCAATGTTGCAACAAACCTTTCATGGTGCTCTCTGTTAGTCAACCAACCAACATCAAAATTGACAAGCAGAGATTTTGGCTCAAGCAAAAATATAAAAGACTGCAGAATTTAACCTAAAGTTAAGAGATAATTTCCGAAAAAACTCCTGACAATTTAGCAATTTATTCAGTTGATCAGGAGGGGAAAATTCTTGAAGAATGAGACAAATGCACTGATTACTTATGGCCTCAAGAGCACAATTGAATCTTCACAGGGATGGCAGATGCTTTCAGAAGTTCCATGGGCATGCTTTGTTGAGCCCAGATATCCAAGCAGGACTTGGAAGGCTGAAGTTATTGAAATTGAGAGATTGTCAATTCAACATTCCTATTAGGATCCATCTTACAGTGGCTAAGTGAGAGGTCAATCTATTGAAATGACAGCAACAAATACAGATTGTCAAGGGGATCAAGGGTTACAGGGAGAAAATGGGAGAATGGGGTTGAGAAACTTATCAGCCATGGAATGGTGGAGAGCTGACTCGATGAACTGAATGGCCTAATTTCTGCTTTTCAGATGTGCACCCTGGCACAGTATGTTGATTAATTTGGAATTACTGAATCTCCACCCTTACGGAAAACATATGTCTCTGCTTTTGAAAAAAAAATTGAACTTTACTCTTGAATGCGTTCTTCAAAGTTTCAGACAGTATCCTAGTCTCAGGTCCTCAGAATGGACCTCATTTCTGTTACTAGATGAGCAGACCTGCCTTCTGCCCCTCAGAGTATTAAGCTGTAGATGTTGCACTAGGCTGGTGTACAAGAATTCCTGGCTTGTGGGGCTCTAATTTCTGACCACAGACCCTTCAAGATTGCTGAATGCCTTTATATTGGCTGGGGCCTCTCAGTCTTACAAGGTTCTATGAATACTACTAGGGATCTGGTGTATCATGATTTCTTACCTTATACATGACCACCCCTCCCACACACCCATAGTTATGGTAGAACATGTCAGAAAGACAGCAGATGGTAGGCATTAGATGTTTTACACATGGTAATGGGGGCCATCATTTACTGCTCTTTTAGAAATCTTATGATACAACCCAGAAAACCCTATTGAGCTTGAAAGGTATGAGACAGTTGTGCAGTGTACTGGCGATGGATATACGTTGGATTTTAGGAT